TATGTAACATGTGTTAAATATAAACATATTGAAAATATATAACATATTGAAAAATATCCATATATTTTGCTCGATTAAATTTATCGCAGAGAGAAAGGAAAAAAAAAGTATCCTTACTTGTCGTTCCTGGGGTACATTGTAAACTTTCAACAGATCATTCATAATCTGCGCTGGGGTTTTTCCGAGTTTATCAACATTTTCTATATGTATATATGTTACAAGATTTGTCTGACCAACTTTTTTTGTACTTGGAAGTGATGTACCAGTTGTCGATGGTTCCATTATAATTGGATTTTCCGCATAAAATTCAAAGTGTAATGTTGTAGCACTTGCTGGAAATGCCTATAAAATATAAAATTATATGTATATAAAGATTTAGATAATTTATATAAAATTGTATCACTTTATTATATAATTATATATGTTTACTTTTTCGGGAAATTCCTTACAGCAATCTGCTAAACCGAAACCATTTTCTTTTCCTCCCCAACTCTAAAAAAGTTATTATTTAATACATTAACATTATTTCATACATTAACATATATTATAAATAAAAATATGAATTAAAGTCACTAACCTCTGCTAAGTGATTGAGCCTGCTAAGCAAAGCTTGACGTTTGTCATTATTTAGACGTGTAATAAAATTACTGCGTTTACTAAACATGTACAAGAGATTTAATACACCAAGAACTACATGCATGTCACAACTTGATAGTAAAGTAACCAAATGTTCCATGCTGTTGTATAGGTGTCGTGAGAACGAGTGCTCAATCAATAACGTCGTGAAGTGAAGAACCCAGAGAAGCAGCTCTTTTGCCTGTTATGAAAAAAGTAATAATATATAAATTATCATATATAAATTACCTTACTAACATTGAGTTTTAATTACATTTTTTAAAAACAATCTATATTAATAAATAAATTGTTAAACAAACCTCTCTATTTTGAGGAAGATCACATGCTAATTCCCACGGATTATCCGGACTCTTTGCTGCAGCTTCTTCTAAAATACTGTCACTGAGATCTAGGACATCAATCCAATGAAATAATTCACATTTTCCAAAAGTCCATGCATCTATTTGTTTCAGCTCTTCTAACAGCTCTGCATGTGAGCAAGAGCGTAGTTTGCTTATAAGTGCTTGACATTCTGCAGGCTGAATATTAATTATATTATTAATTTTAGTCTTTTCATCTGAACGAAGAATGCAAATAGGTTATTTTAAAGGATATAATATGCAGTTGATTTTTATAAATTAAAACTATCGAAATTTATACTGTTTAAGTATTAATATTAAAGTTAGAAAATTATCCTATTTTCTTCATAAAAAATTAAGTAATTATTTAATATATAATTATACAATAAATAGTATTTGTGCATTGTCACACAAATTTGAAAATATGTATATATTTAAAATTATTTAAATAGAAATATGTGCATATCTATATATTTACCACTTCAGAAGTGCATTTTTTCAGTCTGCTCCGATCAATTTTCATTTTGGTATGTTAATCTGTCCTTCTCAAATTTAAAATCTAGAAATAAATATATAAATATTACATTATAAAATTTACAATGAGAACTTGGAACTACACTCAGAATTAAAAATTTAATAAAAAAACATGAGATATATCAACTTCTTTTCTGGTATATGATAAAAGATATTTTAGAATTTTGATAAGCTACATATCAATATGATTCATACAATTGATGCAATCAATAATATAAGAAAATGCAAAGATTGATATTAAAAATATAAAGAAATAATTTTTTCAGCTTGTCATTAGAAAATCTGACAAATACAAATGAAATACTGATAATGTAATAATCATATATTAATACAACAATTATATTAAATAAATATTATAATTAAAATAATTTATTAATATTATAGAGAAAGATAAAAAATTGCAAACGATTACATGAATATTGTGCACTCTTATTCACATTCAAAATATTTGTACATATAATATCGTATACACGGGCTTATTAGACATTAATAATAAATCAAATTTAATATTTGACAAATTACTAATTTCAAGCAAAGGACTTTTATACAACAGAATTGCATGAAGAATACATACATATTGTCAGAAATAAATATATAGAGACTCTACGCTAATCAATATCTAAATTATTTATGAAAACGCATATATCTTGGCAGCATAATCTGCGGTTTGTACATAGATGTAATATATATAACAAGATGTAATAAAATTATATATAAAAAAGTTATTAAAAAATACTGAAAAATCATACATCTATATACAAAATAAAAAATTGTAAAATTATACAAAATGCAGAGAAAAAATTTTAATGTATTTATAATACATTCATTAAAATATGTTTGTGTCAAAAACGTGAAATTTATGTATAAACATATCTTGAAACAATTCTAATCTATTCATGTAATCGTTTAAAGTTCATTAAAGATCGCATTAGTGTACTGTCTGCATTAGCACAAAGAATGCGCACAAAACAAATTATGTACTTCTAAAACTATTAATAGACTTGTATGACTTGCAATTATATTATAACTTTAAATTTATATATCCAACTTTGCAACATTGTGCGAACATCATTTAAAACAAACTTTGAGGAAAGATGAAATGAAAAAATAAGTCAAATTGTGTAGATTGTGTACATCTACGCAATTTAAATACATAACATTTACTATCTCACAATTGCGATTCTTTGTTACAGCTCATTATTTTCACATACATAGATGTATACAAATGCTTAAAGTAAACACTAAACTCTAATTCTATAAATATCTAAATATCTAATCTGAAATATCCGTGTAAAAATAACGAGCTAGAACAAAGAACCGTGCACTGTGAGGCATCAAGTTTCATGTGCTTAAATATAAAACCATCAATGTTCATAATCACACAATAAGTTGTGAAATATTTCGCAATGCAAAGCAACACTCTTTTAACGAGAATTCTACTCGGTTATCTAGGTCAAGTCTCTCTTTCTCTTTGTGCATCAAAGTGATCCGTGAACCTCGATGCTCGCATTCTTCCGTGATACTTATTCCGCGATTGTCGTGACGTAGAGGCGAGAATAGACTCCGCAAATCGAAATCACGCGTTAATCTGCACAGTCATCAACGAGACACGACGATTGTCCGTCTAACCTATTCGTCGGACTTCGAGGAACAACGAGTAAAATGACAACAGATCGAATGACAACACCCTGGCGGCGATCGGCGACACTGTCGGAGCCTTTCGAGGAAAGCCGTGCGTCCCGTAAATAAAAACGTCCGAAGGTGAAAAAAGGCGTGATGCCTCTTTCAAACGCCACGACGGTTGAGCGGAAAAAAGGGGGAAGGAAAGAGAGCTTTTCTCGCTCGAGAGGGGCAGGAAGGAAGAGGAAAAAGCGTCTCTTCTCGCGCGCGCGAGAGAAAGAGAGCGAAAAAAATACGAGCGAAGGAGAGAGACAGAGGGACGGAGAGAGATAGAGAGATAGGAAAAAAGAGAGAGAGAGCGAGCCGTGTATATGACGCGTATCTCTCTCTCTCTTTCTCTCTCTCTCCCTCCTTCCCTCTCTCTCGCTCTCACCTGGCGACGAGCCGTCGTAGTTCCGTGCTCCCAATTTTCCTTCGCGATAACGCGTCCCCTCGCTCGATGCGCTTCTTCACGTCGAGAAGAACGTGGCGGCGCGACACGGGCATCGCGGTCGCGTTGAACCCGCGAGCCCGAGATCGCTTATCGAGTCTCGTCTCGCTATCCCTTGCCTCGATCCTCCGTCCAGCCTCTTGTCATCAACGCGAGCCCGCACTAGACTCTCTCTCTCTCTCTCTATCTCGTTGCACGTTGATAGTTGATGACCGCTACAGTCGCGCGACAGGGACACGGGGATCGCGGGAGGAACGGGGCGATGTGGTACGGGAGGAGGAGGCGGGAGGGAGGCGAGGGACAGACGGCGAGGGCGCGCAGAGGGGAGGGGGGAGAGGGGCCGGCGATGCGCGGAACCGCCGCGACACGGATCACTCTCGGAGCACGGACGTGTCAAAACAGTACCGAGGAGCACGGAGGCTGTCTCGATTTTTTTTTCTCCTCTCTCTCTCTTCCTCTCGTCTCCGAGACACGCGACGACGATCACACCGCCATTTTAGCGAGGCATCCCGCACGACGGGATCCCGTCTTCTTTAACCTTGACAGGGTCCGAGCACGTTACACCGGGCCCTGAGCAATCGCCGTCGATGTTTCTCGAACGATATCGCTGTCTCTGTCTTTGATTGATTCCCCCCTCCTCCCTCGCTCTCTCTCTCTCTCTCTTTTTCGCTCGCGCGCGCGAGTTCACGACCTCACCGCGGCAGGATTCTCGTCTCTCGCGCGTCGAACACAACCTCCTCTCCTCCGGGAATGTTCACCTTCGGCGTGCCAGGCTCCCGCGGGACTCTAGAAGACGCTCGTAGACACATACGGCGATGTCGGTGCGCGATCGTGCATAGGTCCGAGCGTCCCCGGTTCTTCCTCTTCACTTCCTTTTTTTTCCCTCTTCTTTAATAATACGATGTACGTCGTCGACGCGAACCGATCCTCACATTGCGTGTCACTTGCACTCCTCGAACGGTACACGCGACGATAATGCGCGACCGTGACGCTTCGGAGCGATCTCTGCAAACGTGCACGACGGGGATTCGTCGCCCGATGTGGAGTGGGCCTGAGGCTGCAAGCGAATCCGCTGCTGCCGCGATCGTCGTCCAGCGAGATTTCAAATGGAGTCTGACGAGTCGCGGGGCCAATCGGAGCCTGTCGCTGGCTGCTGACTCCGGGACAAGAGACTTGTCCACGTCTTTTATGATAAATATATATCTCCTTAAAAAAGTCCGACTTAAGTAGTCAATTCCGCAGATTTTTCCGACCCCCTCCTCTTCGCAGGAAAGGGGAAGAGGAGGGAGAAAATTACCCTTATTAGTTGTATGTGTGTGCAATTAAATTGTATTATATTGTATATGTATATTTTTCTCTTGATATATACATAAAATTTTATTTTTGTTCACAAAATAAATAAGCTTCAATAACTTAGTCTTTTCTTATTTTATATTTGTCGATGGATTCGAGGATAAGATCGACTATGGAAATATCCTCATCCATCACATAACGTGATTTCTTACGAATTTTTTGCATCGTGGCAGTATTTGTAATATCGTGCAAAATACAGTGTATTTTATCTAAATAAGTATCTATCTTATTCGCGTAGACTGGCCCGTTTCGTTCGTACCTTAATACATTTGCGTTGCTCAGTTCAATCAAGCGATTGAAATATCGTGCCACGTTTACTATGCCCTGAATTCTATGCATTCCTGGCATTATCATAATAGGATCGATTCCGATAGTTTTCCAAATCAAAATTAAAGACATGTTCGCGTGTGCGTTCATGCTGGAAAAATCTGAACAGAATCCAGCAAGCTCATTAGGAAAATTCGTCACTGTAGAATGAACATGTGTCGACACAGAGACATTAAAATATGGTCTTACAAGTCGTAATAAAGGCTCGATGAAATAAATTGGATAGTCTGGATCGCAAAAAATAACAAACTGTTGATTAGGAAAGCTTAGCTTTTCTGAAGAATTTTTCGCCGCTTGCTTGATTTTTGATTCTTGAGTTGACTGATCGCTTTTGATTTCTTGATTTGACTGATCAGCTTTAATTGACTTTTCTTCTTGCACCTCTCGTAAACGCATCATGTAACGACTAGTTCTACAAATAAAAATAATAAATTTATTCCTCGAGTATTTTACAATTACTAGGATTTACTAGGAATATTTTTTTTATATAGAATTCTTTATTTTTTAAATAAATTACCTAATTTACGTCCACAAAAAAGATAAATTCTAACATAAATACCTTAATAATTCTTAGAATGATATTTACTTCTCTAATCGACATATAGGATTGTTATGAACCATTTCCATGTCCACCTTTGGTCCAACAAGATCGCGTATATTGTTCAAACCATATTTAATCATTGTTGGTCTAGTTTAAAATTAAAGTATATGTTATACTTTTGTATTGAATTACAAGATTATACACGTAAATTATATTAATTTTTACCTTTCTAATGATAAACCCCATCCAAGAACATTTACATCAGGCGGTAAATTCAATGGCAATAACAATTCTGGCCTAAACATGCCGCTATTGCCAATCTCTATCCATTTCTCCAAACCATTGTGAAAACAAAATATTTCCATACTTGGTTCAGTATATGGATTATACGCAGGCTTGAATCGAAGCTGAGTGATGCCAAGCTTTTTGAAAAATTCATATAAAATTCCAATAAGATCACCCAGTGAAATCTTATAATTGGCAACAACACCTTCAATTTGATGAAATTCTGCAAGATGCGTCGCATCTAAAGTTTCATTGCGAAATACTCTATCAATACTGAAGTATTTCACTGGCTTAAACTCTCCCTGCAAAATATTTTTCTTCATGATTCATGGTTCTTAGAGGAGCAATTTCTGTTTGTGCCTCTCTGCTCAGTATATACCTCTTGCATGAGTTTATATAACATCCGTGCAGTAACAGCTGTTGTGTGAGTGCGCAACAAATTTTTCTGTGCCTCTTCCAATTTCCAATCATATTTATAACCTTGAGATCCATATCCTCCTTTACTGTGAACAGTTTTTACACGTTCGAGATATTCCATGGGGAATTTTGTAGTAATACGTGGCTCTAAAATATGTAACTAATGTTATATGTATATATATGTATTTTTTTCAAGTATATTTATGTTGTGGTAAGATACCAGAGACAAAAAAGGTATCATGTGCATCACGAGCGGGATGTTGCTGCGGCTGGAATAGCGCATCAAAATTCCAGAAAGAACTTTCTACGTAATTATTTGTCGGCATCTCTGTAAATCTGAAACAAAAATATTTTATATTTTTATGATGCAATAATCATTAATTTTATATAATATTATAAATGTATGTTATAGATGTATTATAAATGTATATTATATATATTATATATGTATAAAAAGACATAATATAAAATTAAAGTTTCAAAACACAATATAATTCTTGATAAAATAGTTTGATATTACTTACCCCATTTCCAGGAAAATTTTTCTAAATTCTTGACGAACTTTTAACAATGGATGCAAATGTCCAACCTGAAGCGCCGCACCTAATGCCTCAAAATTATATGGTTTGAATTTCTTGTTTTTCCAAGCACCATTTGTTAACAAATCTGATGTTAAATCTGCTTCTAGTTTTTCCATTTTTGTAGAGAAGTTTGGCCCTTTTTCCAGATGCATAATTTTAGTTACTCTATTATTTATAAAAGAAAAAAAAGAAAGTGATAAAGAATTGTTTTATTATATTTTGTTTGTATATATTTTTTAACTTGTGCAACTACTTACATATCTTGCACAAGTTTTCTCTTCTTATATTCAGTTTTAACATTCTCTGGGATATTTTCAAGGTCCTTTAAATGTACTTGTATGGTATCTACAATAGATGGTATTTTTTTTCGTACAATAGGAGTATCTCCACTTTTATCAAGTTCAATCCATCCAGCAACCATTGCTTTGGAAAAACCTACTTTGGCATAAGGAACAGATTTCATAAGGTCTGCCTGACGTATTCCTTTATCAGGAATAGCATTGTAAACGACCGCTTCGTGACCGCCATATTTTATTATATGTTGTCCCTCCGCTGTGACCTCCCACTTCCTTTTAGAGATTGGTTTTACCATGATCAACTATCAAAAAGAAGTTATATTTCAGTAATCAAATAATCACAATTTGAGTAAATTAAATCTTATAGACTAATTAATTTAATGAAAGCGATTTTTAAATTAATAAATAAAATAATTAAACATATTTATAACTAATCTAATGATTCCACAGATGGCAAAGATATTCAATTAGTAATTAATTTATTTCACATTCTATGTCCAATGTATAAATCGTACATAATAAATACATAATAAATAATTGAAGATATGATTTTAAGTAGCAAGTGTAACAATTAAGTGATTTTTATTATTAAAATAAGCCTTACGTTGTCCATTGTTTCAAGGCTCTTGATAGCTCCTATGATCTTTTGATGATCCTCCTGAAATTCGTTTGCTAAATCTAGCGAATTCGTTTCATCATGTTTATCTAGATATTCTAAAATTTGGTCTGTCAGCTGTTTTGCCATTTTACATCAATTGGTTTGTCGTGTAATCAAATATAATTTATCGCAACCGGCGAAAACCACGTGGTAAATTCACAAAATACTACGATAATACCTATTATGTATGCTGGCATCTAGCATATTGTATGTTGTACCTGGTTGTACACTTGTCAGAGATACAGGCATAGACATATAAAAATAATTAGAAGGAATCCAAGGTTCCATTTTGTGCACTCTGCTTGGCGTTATGGTTTTCAAAGCCTTTGATTGGACGGTTTTCCATTTAATAACACAAGACAAAATTAACTCCAATTATTAAACTTATTAATTAAATTACAAAACAGTCAATAACAATATTTTTATTATATTAAATAATTGTATTGTTAAATTATTGATAAATTTCGTTGTTAAGCATGCTAATTAATTAATAATTATTAAATGGAAAGAGAAAGCACTCCTTGACCAATCAGAACGAAGACATCCTTATTCTGATTGGTCAAGTGAATTGAAAGTATTTTGAACATTAGTGCACGCTCTAGTATAAATAAAGTTTAATGCTTGAACTTTTTATAGAGAGCATGATTTCAGATAATGTTTAAACGAAATTTGACGAATATATTTAATTTTTTCTATTTTCTATAATTGCACGTACATACACACACACATATATATATATATATATATATATATATATATATATAATATATATCTATATAAAACAATAAGACTATAAAAATTTTTAATAATTAATATTAATTGTATGTTTGTTAATAAATGGATCGATATGTTGACACTGCAATATTTTTGCATTTTATCAATTTTAAATTTTTTTTAATTGATATTTCTCTTGGATTATGCTAATTTTTAATTTACATCATACATACATTTTGTTCGTATCAAAACGAACAATCAGACATCTTTTCTCTTTTTCTGTAATTCAAACAAGCTGTAATTTGCTAGAACATATATCATATCTTATGTATCATAATTATATGATGTACTGGAAAATTAATAATTTTTTTATATAAATTAATTTTATCTTCGATATATTCTCACAATTTTTGAAAACTTGGTCTCATTAATTATAAATAAATATATCGTTAAAATACATATAGAACTGAGCAGCAGCTTATTTGAATTATTATCTGTATAATATCTATATTAACTTATGAGAGAATCAATTATTCGTTAATTAGAATATACAATCGATTATAAATTGCTTATTTATTCATGTAATATTGCTAATTTGTGATACTTTTCTCTAATCTAAAATTATTTTAATCTAAATATATAAATAGAATGTTTTAATAAATTTTATCTTTTAAGGAAATTATCAAAAAATGGAATAAATAACTTTACATATTTTACATTCAAACATTCCATATATATACATATATAGAATTATGAAACAAAATATTGAAATTATTGTTTATTAATCGTAATTTGCTACAAAAGATATTTATATTATACAATTTTATTGGAAAATAATAATAGAATTATAATAGTTATATAATAAGTTATAATAAGTTAATTACTTTGATTATAATAATTATAATTATTGGAAAATATAATTATATTTTTATTGTTTTGAATATAAAATAATAAATTCAAAGCAATACAATATATGCATATTATAAGCATTATTATATTAGCATTACCCGATGCACACTACGAGGAGGTTGCTGATCTGATTTGGCGCATGTGTGTGTGTGTGTGTGTGTGTGTGACAGCAGAGATAAGGACCCTACGGTTCGTCACTTCCGTAGCATTTTTTGACTCCAAACCCTCTCTGCTGTGTGTGTGTGTGTGTGTGTGTGTGTGTGTGTGTGTGTGTGTGTGTATTTAGAGTAAGTGTATAATAATGTATACAAGCTCATATCTTTTAATCTTCTATATCAACTCCGACATCAAGAAAATCGGAAATACAATGGATTGCCTTGGTGGGTAAACACCTAAAATTAAAATATTATTTTTTTAATAGAGAATGTACAAACAAAATAATATAAATATAATACAATAGTAGGTATTTATATTTATTAGCTACAAATTGCTTTGCAGCTTATTAGCATATTTTGATTTATTTCAAAATATATGCATTTAATGATTGAATTTTTACTTATGCAGTTTACCTTAATAAACGTACTAGTAGCAGCCAATATGAAGGTATACTTCTTTCTCGAAAATTCTGTCTTTGCGCATCAATTATTAATGAAGCTGCCTTCTGTGGTGTAAGTCCATTTATTATAAATGAAAATCTATTATTGATAAATAAAATAATGTTACTTATCAGCAATAATTATTATAAAAATATTTTATTATTTCAGTACATTTTAAATATATGTATATAAAATATAAGATTTAATAAAAAAATCGATAAGATTTAATAAAAAAATTTAATTAAAAAATGCTAATAAAAAAATTATTATATAATTTTATATAATTATATAATTATTATATAATTATATAATTATATTTTATATAATTTTTTTTATCGAATATGTTGATTTATAAAATGTTACATAAAATTATAATTTATATATTTATGTTATCGCTATTACAAAATGTTATTTACAATTCATCAACTTTACATCATTATATAAATGTACCTTGATCTTGGCTTTTTAACAATTCCAGTAAGTACTAGAGCTGGATAAACGGTAGTGAATTTAATTAAGGATTTTCCTTTGCTATATGCACGCAATTCTTCGCTGAGAGATTCCATAAGTGCTATAATACACACATGAAGAAAATATTAGAAAAAGATTCTGCAATTGTATTTATTATATTTTTATTTTGAATTTATGCGCATAGTATTCGTTAATTTACAGTTAATATTAATAATCATATTAATAATCAGTTAATATTAATAATCATACGCTATACATATATATATATTAATAGAATTATAAGATTAAATTACCTTTGACCGCAGATTTTGTGGGACTATAAACCGTACCATGTGTAGTGCTAATAAATGCTACTATTGATGAAATCGCCACAATGTGACCGTGATTTTTTTCAATCATACTTGGTAGGAACGCTTGCAACGTCTAAAAATGATTTCATTAAAAACAATATACGTATACTTGTATGCGTGTGACTCGTTTAGTCTCTTGAATTTATTTCAATTGTGAATATAGTAAATTAATTCTTAGTGCATATCTTTATTTCTTTAAGAATAATATTAAATTAAATTATTTAATTAATTAATTATTAAGTAAATTATATTATTAATTATTACACATATAAAGCTGTTGTGCTATATAGAATTATAGATTATAAGCCCATACATATGTATATATGTATATGTACTTTATAATTGCTATGTATGTGTATCTCAAATATTACTTGCCCAATAATGCGATTTCAAATTGACGTCTATAACTCGTGAAACTTCATCGATGCTTTGATTTAGTAATGTTTTAATAAATGCTATTCCAGCATTGTTGACTAAAATAGTAACATCACCGATTTCTTTTCTTATTTTTTCAGCCATTCTAAAGACTTCTTTCCTGTCTGCTACATTGCATCTATAAAAATCTCAAATTTTTAATCAGCATTGTTATTGATAATAATTAAATGTGTTGTTAATAATTAAATGTATTGATAATAATTAAATGTGTTGTTAATTGTATGAGTATAAACTATTCGAATTGTTTTTTATTTTATAAAATCAGATAATATTGATTTACTGATATGCGAATACAGCATTTTTCTCCATTAGTTTAATCTCTTTCATTGTTTGCTTATTAGTTTCTTCATTAATATCACAACATATCACTGTTGCGCCTAACAATGCATAACCAATCGCTATTTCTTTTCCAATGCCATGACCTGCACCTGTTACCTATAAACACAATATATTTAATTATGAGGCTACATCATGTGAATTACACATTATATCATACACATTACAGAATATCCCATTTTAATTGTCCTCTGATTGAATATCTCTTAAATGACGTATATAATGCGTAGAAAATGTAAAACAAAAATTGTAAGGTTTTGAGAAAAAAAGATATTAGTTTGAGTATAAATATTAAAACATGTGAGGATCAATATATTTTATCAATATACTTTAGGTTTACATAATTTTATATGAACTATAAAATGCTTATATAACTATAAAATATCTCATAAAATATTCATTTTTTGATTATTTTTTTACCTCAATACTTTTATGCACAAAATAAGAGGAATTAATTAGTATGAAGAAAACACATAATTATTCTTAAAAAAAAATTATGTAGCTGTTCGTTGCAAATTCATGTTTTCTTAAAAACAATTATGTGTTTTCTTTACACCATTAATTCATTCCTTTTATTTTTTTGTATATAAAAATATTGATATAAAATAATCGAAAGGTATTGAGATAAGATAATCGAAAAGTAAATACAATATATCGAAATATTTATAGTTTATGTAAAATTATGTCAATCTAAAGTATAAAATATCTCGCAATATATTCAATTTTGAACTATCCTATTCTTATAACTTTTTACATGGAATATTGTGAGAAATTGATTTATATGGACAAATTAAACGGTAGTCCGTTTAAAAAACTAGATTGAGCTTTATATGATCTTAATACCTACACCTGAAGTCAAACTAATATCTCCTTTTTCTTCTTCAAAAGCTTACAACTTTTATTTGAAACATTTACCAAATGAAAATGTGTCATTTAAGAGATATTCGAGATGGACAATTAAAATGGAATACCTTATTTATAGTTACTATTATCATAAATTTTATAGTTTATAAATTTTTATTCTCTTTAAGTAGATTTGCTATTTGATAAAATAATCTATAAGGCTAAATAATCTTTTGATAAAATAAATTTAACATGTTTAATATTTACATATATTAATTTTAATTTGATAAACTGAATATTACATTAGTATATTGGAAAAAATATGTTTTCTATATCTATATTCTATGAATTCCATACGCACCAAAACAATTTCATTAGTTACGCTCTTTTTTGTTATTGGAATAAACATTGTGAGTATGTTCTTGCAGATGAAATAAAAAACTTTCAAAATAAGAAACAGTATTTCTACTAGAAGGAGCAGGGTGTTGTTGCAGGATATCGTTGTTTTCATCCTAATTATCTAGAAAATTAATAATTATATATACACATATATACACACACATATAAGAAATGTAAATCCGATAAATTTCACTTTTATATCTTGGACTGCTATGTAAATCCGATAACTTTCACTTTTATATCTTGCACTGCTATGCATCTTGGAATGTTGACGGTATTCTAATTTTCAAGTCTTATAACTCGCAAACATTTTTAATGAAAAATAACTTATAGTGTTTGGAAAAGCTCTCGAAATAAGTTACAAGAATATTATAAAAAATATTATAAGAATGTTATAAAAAATAGGGAGTTTTATTTAAAAAATTGAAGGCGATCTTCATGTGACTATTAAATGATTATTCAAGATCAAACCAATGATATCATCTTGTTCTTTTCGAAGTCAAAAAAACTTTTGTACCAAACATTTTTTCGTATCTTTCATATTTTTTGAAATATTTGCCTGGGACGATTAAAAGAATCACTGATGTATATTTATCCATCATATAAAAATATTTTTAATTTTTAAAATTTTTACTTATTTATTATTTGAAACCGAAGTAGTTAGATTACAAATATGGTAAGATTTATTTTATGTACCTGATTATAATTATCGTCCAAAACTCTTCTATGGATCTTATTTTCCTTTTAGTCTGATAAATCTCAAAACCAGTTGAATCTTTCTGTCTCCTGATTATATATGTAAGTTGCTGGGCTTCACTTTTTATATTTAATTTTGCATTTGCATTAAAAGCATATGCGTATGTGTAAATTTCTCTGTCTTTTGTTTTCCACCTTTTTCTTTAATTGTTGGACTATGATAATTAACTGATACGAGTAAAATAGATTCGAGCAAATCTTTAATTATTAATTACGAACATCATACGTGTTGCACTGTTGCACGAATAATGAACTTCAGAATCGTATGCACAGGAAACACGATAACCTTTCACTTTTACATTTAACATTAAAAAAAAATGATTTCAATCTCATTAGCAAGGCTAAATTATTTATAAGTAAATGACAGATTTAAAGAGAGAAGATTGTACAACATCTCGAATCTATTATAAAAAGAAATTATATCTTTAATGAATTATATTTTTCCAAATCATAATTGAAAATTTTAAGCATAAATAGCATTACCCTTGTTCTTGTTTAGAATGTTTTATCTTATATTTTTACAGGGATACAAGGAAAGATAACATGTTGCAGAAATTTGTATAAAATGTAAATTTGTTTTTCTCGTTAATTATATATGTTCTCTTGTGAAATAAAAATAATTAATTCGCATTCAAATTAATGATCGAAAATATTCGCAAATATTTCTTTTTTCTTTCTCACATAAACTATAAAATAAATTCTTACATAAACTATAAAATAAATAACACTCATATTTGTTCGATAAATTGCTAAATCCTTATTGATATTATTATCCTTTTTTAATTTATTATTATCCTTTGATATTATCTTTTAAATTTATTTTTCAATGTAATCACATTTTAATTTTATGATTTTATTCTATGTTATGCGAGCTTGTATTGCTTTATAATTATATTTTATTTGTGACTTGAATGCAAGAATTTGAAGTCAGATTACGGAGAACTTGTTCTAATATTTTTATTTATTTTATTTAACTTCTAATAGAATACTATTATTAATTGCAATATTATTTTATCTAATTCGATAGAATATTACTAAATACTATTGATTGCCATATTTTTCTTTCTACTAGCTTGATGAACGTCCGCGAATTGAAATGTGATTATGCGCAAATAAAAAAAAATCTTTTGATAATTCTATCAAAATAAGAATTATATCTTGATTACATATTTAATAAAGAAAATGTATATAAAAAATAAAAAATATATAAGATATATGTTTATTAATTTATAATTACTTATTATTTGTAATTACTTTACCAGTTTATTTTGTATTATATTTTTTATAAAATTACAAATTTTTACATATTGCTTTGATAAATTTTAATTTTATTTTAATTTGTATTTTTGCAGATTTTATTTTAATTTGTATTTTTGCAGATTCGTTTATTTACAAATATTACATTATACAATATTGCATTTGAATATCGTGCAAATTTTTGGAGCAAAAATTTGATTGGCTGTTTTATATTCAATCAATTTTACATCGGTGACATTTACACCTTAAAGATGCGGCCTCATTGACGCTAAAAAGTAGCGTCAACCATTGGTTGAACAATGAAGCAACTATACTTACCTCCTTGTTCAACCAATGGTTGACGCTACTTTTTAGCGTCAATGAGGCCGCACCTTAAGGCGCCTTTTCATGTTAACGCTTAATGCTGATTTTCATTGCCAAGAGATATCACGTGTCTCAAATAAAAATACCAATTCATTTTTCGATCACGTGATGTTTTTTGATATTGAAAATGAAGGTTGAGGGTTCCATGAATTTGTGCCTTTATTTTTTTACATCATGATAGAGAGGTCGCTTCGCAAAAGTCATGTTTGAACAGGTTTTGAACGTAAAATAAAGATCGAGAGAGAAATTTTTTTATTTTCCATAAATTTTTAACAAATTTTCTGAAAGATTAAAGTAAATTTAAATTTGTGTATAAATATATGTATATAATTTTTTATTAATAGTAAAAAATAACATCAATGTTTTGTAAAGTGATGTCCACGTGACTCGATGCATTGTTTCTCGTAAACAGGAAATTAATATTTATGATGTCATACTGCAATTCTGTCAGATAAAAATATCTTTTTTTAAATTCATCTATTATGTTGAAAAGTTATCATTGCCATATTGTCAGATTTGTCCCTGATGTATGGAGATTGTATAAAGTTCTGCCAAGATGGAATTGTCATTGGAAAATGTTGAAATTTCAAATGATCCGGAAACCAAGGGATTTAGTTTATCAGCTGGAAATACCTGGATATATCCAGAAAATTATCCAGTCCGCCAGTACCAGTATAACATAGTTAAAGCAGCTTTATATCAGAACACCTTGGTTTGTTTACCTACTGGTAAGAAAAGCATTTATTATTAACAATACAAATTTACGACTGTTATATATTTTACTATTTATGTAACAGATTCTTATTTTTGATTTTGTTACAGGTTTAGGAAAGACTTTCATTGCCGCTGTTGTGATGTACAATTTCTGGAGATGGTATCCATTTGGAAAGATTGTGTTCTTAGCACCGACAAAACCTCTTGTTGCTCAGCAAATTGATGCATGTTATGAAGTAATGGGGATTCCAAGTGTTGACATGATAGAACTTACAGGTTTTAATATTTTACTATCATTACCTTAATAATGCACATAAGTGCTTTGAATAATATATATTTCATGTATATATTAAATATATTAATTTAGTAAATGTATTAATTTACAGGTGCAGTTAATAAAAAAAAACGTGAAATAGCATGGCACAAGAAAAGAATAATATTTGCCACTCCGCAAGTATTTCATAATGATCTGGAGAAAAAAATTGTTCCCAGTCATTTAGTCAAATGTGTTGTTGTAGATGAAGCTCATAAAGCTTTAGGCAAACATTCATATTGTGAGGTAAGAAAAATATAGGAAATATATGAATTGCAAATTTCTTCTATAATAAACTGATAAGATTTATAATTTTTAGTGTATTAAGATATTATATACACAGAATCAGTATTTTAGGGTATTAGCACTTTCTGCTACACCTGGAAATAAAATAGATAATGTTCATGAAGTGAGTAAATATAGATATATATTTTTATTAGAAATTGATTCTAGACAATTTTCACTATTTTAATATATATTTTGTTGTGCAGATAATACAAAATTTACATATTTCTCATCTGGAATTGAGAGATGAGACTTCAATCGACATAATGCCATATGTTAATAAAAGAAAAGTAGATATTATTTTGGTACCGCTTAGCCATGAATTAGCTGAATATAAAGACAAATATATTATTATTATGGATCGCCATGTTAAATTTCTTATGCAGTATAATATATTACGAGCTGAAACTGCGAATATATCTAAAGGAAGGGTAATTAAATTTAGTTTGTAAAAATTTAATAATTTAATGAAATATAGATTTTTTAGTTTTGACTATATTTTCCAGATATTCCATTTATTAAAAGAATTTCAAGCAAAGACAGACAAATCTGGAAATTATGGACAAATTATGAAGACATTGAATATATTATTAACTATGTATCATGCTTATGAACTTATGGTCAGACATGGATTGCGTGCCTTTTGTAAATTTTATCAAAGTACGTTATTTATAGCTACAAATTATTATAGTTTAATTTTGTAAGGCATTCTGCAGTTGTATTTATTGAAATATTTATAAATATAGGTAAAAGTTCAAAATAATTTTATTTTTTAGATCATTCTGATAAGTTTTGGATGAATAATGAAAATCAATTGCAAAGTTTGCTTAATGACATAGAAGTTTATCTTGGACCGTTCCCGGATATACTTCCTAATGGAGACGTACCTGAAGTAAATTTGTAAAAATATCTTGATAATACAGTAAAATCTTATAAAATGCATTATTTATAAAAATATATATTATTTCCAGATACCAGCAGATCTCGTATTTGGGCATAATAAGTTTCACAAATTAAAAGAATTGCTTGAGCATCATTTTAAATACAATAATGATCGACAAGACACAAGAGCTATTGTTTTTATTGAAGTTTGTATATCAATCTTTCATTTTTACATATAACATATAATATTGCTCCTATTTAATAATTGAAAATTATAATAAAAGTAAACGCGCAAAATGAAATATTTAATATTTGAAAAATTTAACATGTTACTCTACAAATCTAGTACAGAGACATAGTCAATGAAGTCTATATTTTGCTCTTGAAATCAAAACCACTAATCAGGCCACAGATGTTTGTTGGTCAAGCTAGTCAAAAACAGAAACAACAAATAAAAGCATTGGAGGATTTTCGAAGCAATCATGTCAATGTGCTGATTTCAACAAGTATAGGTAAGTAAGGTGAAAATGCATTTATAGTTAAAAATGCAATTGTTGCAATAATAAGCAGAACAAGTGATTTTAGTTATTCTATTATATTATATAAATCTATTATATTTATATAAATCTTTGTGAATCCTTTTATCAATCTTGAAATGTGTTAATTTTTTTGTAATGTATGATGTAGGTGAAGAAGGGTTGGATGTAGGAGAAGTAGATCTCATAATATGTTTCGATGTGTCGCAACATTCTCCAATAAGACTAGTTCAAAGAATGGGTAGGACGGGACGCAAACGAGATGGTCATATAATTGTTCTTGTTACAGATGGAAAGGAGCACGAGGTAAGTGTTATATACTTCTTCACACTTTTTTGTATATGCATTCTAATGTTACTAAAATGTTTTGCAGAATTTGAAGTCTACGCTTTCTAAAAGAGATTCTTTGAACAATAAAATATTAAACACAAGCAATATATTCTCTTCCTTATATGAAAATAACCCTAGGATGATACCAAATCAATTTACTCCAGAATGTTACAAGATGCATATTATTGCACCAAAAACACCAAGGGGTAAATGGAAAGAAAAGGAAAATGAAAAAAAGAAAATCAATAAAAGTGAAACATTTACTACAAAACAGAAAGAAAGTGAGTTCTTTTATGTTTAATTTAATTTAATTTATCTTTTATTTTTTCCATTAGTTATATTTAACAGGATTATCTAATATCTTTCTTATACAATATATATATATTTATTTTGTTATATTTATTTCATGCAGTTTCATCTATAAAAATAAATACAAATCAGTCATCGATGATGAAGTTTCTTACTAATAGTAAATGCAATGAACAGAATCAGAATAATACGTGTAATATTTTTACTCAATCAAGAACACAATGTAATAACCTGCAAAATACAATAAATCCTAATAACGTCAAACTGCTATCTGATGACAATGCAGGAAATGATTTTCTGACATTATGCGCAATAAAGAGGTCAGAGGAAGAAATATCTTCCAAAACTGTACATAAAATGGATACGACTTATGTTCCTACGCCAAAGCCAGTTAAAGATTTGTTCAATTTTGTATTACCTGATATACAAGTTATTGATTGTTTCTTTATGAAACTTGAAGATATTTCAGCAGAACGTGAAGATTGTAAAGATTTCCTAACACAAAGTAAAAATAATGAAAATGAAAATATTCATAACAATAATGATTGCATTGATATTAATGATGATAACTTTTGGTGTACTATCCGAAATGAGAAAAACATTGATAATAATGAAATAAGATTCGAAGATATACTTGACGAGAGTTCTGACTCGAATAGAACAACAATTTCATATCCGGATCAACAAATTAGAGATATTGAAATAAATTCGAATAATATTAAAGTTTCTGTATTTGGTGCAAAAGATGATAAAATTATGACTGATGTAGGAGTAGAAATACCAAATAACACAATAGATCTAGAATCTAGTTTATTCGAGAACATATTAAATGAGTCATTTAGTTCAATTGAAGATAATTTAGAAAATGAGGATATGCCACAACAAAATATAGTATCTTCAAACTCTTCAAGTGTTATCGCTAATATAAAAAAAATTAACATTACTGATGAAAATACTATTAACACATTTCACAACAAAAATAATACTGAATCTAATTCAAATTTATCATTATTTATAAAACCTGCTAAACCTCAAAGAAATCAATTTATGAAAAATTTTATAGACGAAATACAAGATTTTGATTTTAATAGTGATGATGATATAAATGAATTTGTTAGGCATGAATCGAACAGAAATAAATCTAAACATAATTCAAAGGCAGAGGAGAGTCTGTTATCTATAACTCAAGCTATTAATGAAATAGCAGGAACAAAAAAAAACTTGAAAGTATCGTCGAAATCTGTATGTAAGGAAGAATCGATTAACGAAGATAACACTGGCTGGATTTCAGTGAATACTAAGAATGAAACTAAAATCGAAAAAAGAAACACGAGTTCGAAAATAGAAGAAAAATTATCAGATTTTTGCAATTCTACTGCAAAATCATGTACTGTTGAACAGAATTTCGATTTCCCGGATGATTCTGATGAAGACTTTATGATCATAGAGAATAACGCGAAGAAATTTAATGAACTTGAAAGCTGTTATTTTCACGATATATCCAAAAACTGGGAAGATGAGAGTAATTGGTTGCCTAGTACATCGAAAAATTCGGAAGATAAAACCAACTATTTTGATAATACGTCGAAAAATATGAAACCGTGTGGTACATCAACGCCAACCAGTAGTAGACGTGCAGGATTGTCTTTGAAACGAAATAAGGTCCAACATCTAGATAAGATAGATTTGAGTGTATTTCAAGCACCTAATAAATGCACTAATAATATACAAAATAAAAATATTTTGGAATCTAGCTCGCCAAAGCACATGTTCTCTGATAAAATAATTGCACAAAAAATCAGTCATAAATATAAACGTGAAAACAATGTTAAAAACGAATTTATAGATGACGAAGCGGAAGTAGATTCTGACGCCAGTTCGGATGAAATCATTAATATAAATGAAGAGGAGTTTGCGGATTTTGTGAGCTATACACAACAGCAAGATGAAGTTGACATGCACGCGCATTATCTGCAGACTATTAAGAGCCCGATCAAACGACCGGGCGCCTTTCATTTCAGAAAACCACGGTCGCCCGATGTAAATACAGAGATTTATTCGCAGCCTTTGTCACAAGTGCAGGATTCGTATCTTTATGTACGTAAATTATCTGATGCATCACAATCGTATAATCGATTCGATTTTTATATACAAGATAAATTAATATGGAATATTTATTAAATTTTGATTTCAGGATTCATTTTGTGTTAAAGATGTCGAATCAAGCGTTGTCAATAACGATACAATATTAGAAAGAGCTGAAAGAGAATTAAAACGAAACAGGCGAAGACATTTTTGTTCAGATAAGATGAAACATGTCAAAAGACAAAAAACAAATCATTCTGAGAGTAGTGAGGATGAAATTGAACAACTGCGCATACAAGTGCAAGAAGATTAAAAATAAAGAAAGGAATAAAATTTGAATCAAACTGTGATGCGTCGATGATAATTATACGCAATAAGAAATTTATTTTTAAATTTGTACAAAGCATGTGTAAATACTCGTTCGTTAAAGATTTATTATTATTTTTCATAATAAAATTATGTAAAGATCTATCTTTATAATCAGATAACAATGATTTATGAATAATAGTATATTTGTTTTTCTCTTGCGAAATGCGTGATTTCCCGTTTCATCCAAAATCCGTGTGTTTTTTCCCATTACTTATTCTAATGATATTTTTATGATTTATCATTGTTCAGCGAGATATTTACATAGATTATATCCGCTTTATATCAAAGCTTTCGCATAGAAAGATATATTTTCTTATCAAAGAATTTTGTCGTATTTTTATTGTATAAAGAAATTATATAAATTTACCAATAATGTCTATTTTTAAAAATTTATTATAATTGAAAATTACTTCTGATAGTAACAGTCTAGTTCTAATAAGTTAATCGAAAAAACATAATGCGAAATTGATAAAAATATGATTATTTGTTTATTTATCTATCTTTGTATATCTTACTTCTAATGTACGATATCATGTTTCTTTGGAAATATATATTAGACTAATGTACATAACAGGATAAACTATTTTTTTGATAACTATGGAATGCCTAAAGTGTTTTTCCAGGTACAAGGGACAAGTTAAAGAGATAGTCAAAAAGTCTAATGTAATAGGCATATATAAGGGCTGAACGCAAACGTTTCGCGTCAGTTCCGAATTCTTGCCCAGTGGAATTCATTTTTAAAATCATTGAGAAACAGTGATATTACTTCTAAGTATTAATAATAATGTATTTTTTTCATAAAATTAATACTTAACGATCAAAATTAATAATTAAGATTTAAAAGTGTTGTGTTATACTGTAATTATCATATAATTCCTGTATAATATTGATGATTGAAACTTTATAAATATTCCTTCTTTTTAGATAGAGAGATCTAGAGATATCTTAAAAACTTTTATTATATAAAGTGACGAAAAATGCATCCTATTGCGATTATTTTGACTTTGATTAGTGTCGCGTATGTGAGATCATACGCAATGTATCCTGGAGAGACGGAAGTGTTAAAAATGCAATCGACTTCTTCTGATACTTCTATGCAAAATAATAATCCTCCGCCGTCTTCGTATGTTTTTCCGACTTATCCGGAATATATTAATAATACGAATTCACTTACTGAAAAAAACGAGAATCATTCTACCCCGAGAACGATTATGCAAACGACTGTACAAACCCCGACAACGGCTGTACAAACAACTTCTCGGTGGTCGTACCAAAATATTGTTTCCAGTTTAATATCTTTCGCCAAGAATTTCTACATCTATGGTTCTCTCATTCGCAACTTTGTGATGCGATTTTGGATCGTCATTTTCATGGGTATTATTTCTACCGGCGTGATTTGTATGCATACATCAATCTGCAAGTTTCCGAACATCGAGGCAAGTCGAAATATTTTTATCTTCTCCTCAAATTAATAAACAAAACGATAGACTTTTGAAAGTTATATTTGAAATAAAATTATGTTCATATATTAAACATATCAAAAGATACTTTTTGGCTGTCTTTTTAAGATGATATAATATTTATTTTATATATATATATATATATATATATGTGTGTGTGTGTGTGTGTGTGTGTGTGTGTGTGTGTGTGTGTGTGTGTGTGTGTGTGTATTAAAAAAATTATTTCAAAAAAAATTTAATAATTCGAAAAATAACTTTTACAATAATTGTAATCTCATATATATATATATATATATATATATATTATTATATATTACAAATTTTTGATTATTTAATCGATTTATTTAGAGTACTTTTGTATTTATATTTTTCGATTATATTTTTTTCATACTTATATTTTCCAATAATTTTCCAATAATTATAAGGAAAAAATATATACTTATAATGCGCGAAAAGACTGATAATCATTTATAAAAATAATGAATATATATTCATTTGTATTTTTTTTCTCATTTATTCAAATATTTATTTATATTATTTGATTTAACGATTTTTCTCTCATTCTTTGTTTACAGATAAAGAAATTAGCCAGCACGTATATTACGTCTCAAAATTTGGATTACTTGACCACGACGATCTTGGGAGCGCTTGATAAATACAGTTCTATACAGAACAAGGAAGATAAGGCCGAACAAAATAAAAGTCAAGAATAAAATAAAAAAGTCGATACAACGAAAACTCAGTGATACTGTCTATACATTTTTTTAATGCACGAAATATAAAAAAACTTAACATCTTACAAAAAAATTTAACATCTATTTAATTTGTTTGTCATCATTTCGTATATATTTTATACTATATCCACTTTTATATTTAGTCCTTTTTGCTAATAAGTTTTAGTTTCGTGTCTGATGATAGTTTATATACAAAACATTTCAATATAAGTGATAGAGTAAAGCTTATTGATTTATGTCTTCATTCGATACCGTTATCAAAAATCCCTGTTATTCTCATATCCTGGTATTTGATGACGTTTGACAAAGTATGATATCATTCAATTATCGTTTACACACAAATTTCGTTTACTTCAAAAATCATAATTGTTTTCCATCCGTTCACATTGATTATATTTCATCAAATACAAATCTCTCTCTTAGATGTGCAAAATTCTAAGAACTTTGAAGTCGGAAGAAATATTAATATCATAAATTGCGCATATTATATCGTTAACGTTACGATATTTCTTGATTTATTTTTTTCCAAATATATAGGAAATATTAAGGAATTGATGCAATATTGATAATTCATTAAATGTTATTAAATAGTTTTATTATTAATTATTAATGCTAATAACGTAATTTGATATTAATGCTTATAACAAGCACATACATATTGATTCATATATTCCAAGTGAAAGTAATATTTTTTTATTCAATAATAATCATATTTTTCATAAAGAAAAAAAGTTATTTTTTATATCTATTTTAATCTATTTTATAACCATTTTATATCTATTTTATTTGAAATTTTTTGAATCTTTCAAGTAGAAATTTCAAAAAATTAAAAAAATGTTATTCTCATAATATTAAATAAGCACGTATTTTAGCACAATAAGCACATATTTTAAAATAAAATATAATATAAATAATTTATAATAATTTTTATTATAATTATTTATAAAATAAGTTTATATGTCAATTTATAATAAAGAAATCATTTCTTTCATTTATTTATTTACCACAAGAACTGATACAAATTTCGAAAGCACATTCAATTGTATCCTTTGATTAAGACTATAATTTTACCAATAGTCTCTCGATTTAACAATTTTAAAAAGATTTTCATCTTAATAATATACAAACAGGCAATTTTCTGCGTAAAGTTATCTCCGATCCATACATGACTCTATAGAGATTTGACATGTGTACAAAGCATTATCTATAGTGTGATCTTACGATTTTGCACATATAAAATTGTTCACTCTTGAGTCATGCTTACCGCTGTTTCCTTCTCTGGCGAGAGATCTTTCCGCGCACCTCTCCGCACGTCACCACTACTCTTCCTCACAGATGGGCTTTATAATACACCGGATCGTCAAGCTGACCGGTTTTAATCTTTAACGTGCATCGCGTCAGTCCACCTATTGTGAGCGTTAAAGGCTGGAAATCACGCTAATTTATAAAATCTAACACCAATTTGTGTTACAAAAGGTTAACAAATTCTAACAGTGCGCAGCAATTCATCAATCATGCGGTCCAAATTGGGTGAATATTTTTTTTCTAGTTTCTTAAATTTTAAAGATAATAATAAAATAACAATATTTCAAAGATAATAATAAAATAACAATTGAAACGATTACAATTCATTAATCATGTGGTTCAAATTGAGTGAATAATATTTTTGTTCTAGTTTTTAAAATTTTAAAGATAATAATAAAATAACAATATTTTAAAGATAATAATAAAATAACAATCGAAACGATTAGACACGATATAGATATGACTAGAATAATATTTTTGAAGTATTTTAAATTTAATTAAAGTTAAATAAACATTTCTTTTATGTCATTAAAAAATATATAAATGTTCCAAATATATGTATCACATGAAATGATTCTAGTTTATTATTGTGTGTGTGTGTCAAAATATTGAATTCTCTCGACTAAATCTCTACAGAAAAAATGAAAGTAAAGAATAGAGATAAAGAATGCGATTGTATTCAAGGTTGATGTTGAAATTCTTGAAATTGTTTCTTTTCTTATAAATTATAAAAAGTTTAAGATCCTGTTTGTCAAGTAAGGTTGCTGACCGCCAACAAAAATGCGGTTTCCTTGAGGTTTCCGTTCGGATCATATCTGTGCGGTCATTATTATCGAATTATGCTACCCGGAAATGTTGTTAGAAATATCTATTGTGAATTATATGTAATAATACACAATAATAATACACAAAACATACTTGAAACAGGGAATTTGTTATTAAGTATATGTATTAGATATAAATATAAAAAATTTTTTTTTAAACATATTATTTCATTCACTCAAACGTTTATATTGGAGGATTATTATTAAAAAAACAATTATTATAATAAATAGTATAATAAATAATTTAGTATACAAAAGAATTTTTTTAGAATCACTTTTAAAGTCAAACATATATGATTATTTGCTTTATATAAAACTCCATTTGCTAAACTATTTACATATTTATTATCAATTATAAATGTATTAAATAATTATTTGATATAATCTTAATGAAGATTTAATTGTGTTTTCTTTTTTTTACATTTTTTAAATCAGTTTCCTCTTTTTATAAAATATATATTGATAATAGATTTGAAAAAGCTTTCAATTTTATGTACATATAATATCATTAAATACTTGAAATTCATTGAAGAATAAATGTATCATTTTATTTACACTGATATACATCAAAATTTCTTCATTTTCAAGGATTCATAATAAAAACATAACAAGAAACATAAACGTTATTCTCTAAATTATTTTGTTACTTCAAATTAAAAGAGAAAATAATTTGAGAGAAAATAATAAAAGAATAAATGATTTACAAATAAAATTTCATGATAAAAGAGAAGTTGAGAGAGATTGTATGTATTCTGGCAAACATTTTCTCTTCTAAAAATATATATAAATAAATAAATTTTAAGATAAAATTTTAAGACAAGATTTTTACTTTTATTTTTAATTTTTACAGAATATCTACTGTGCTTCTCGATCATGTTAATTTTTATAAAAAAATGTGTGTGCGTCGTGACGCCAAATCCTGTAGAGACAAATATTTCTTCACAAATTACTCCCCAAACTGAAGATGACGAAGACTTCGTACCCTATCATGGAGAACGCTTCAGTGTCTTCGATTGGATGTTGTTCAGGGTATTTGAATTCGTATTGTTTTTTGAAAATTTATTAGTGGCAAATATCTAATTTAAATATGTAAGAAGCAAGACAAAAAGACATGAAAAGAAAAACTTCAAAAGAAATCTTTTAAGTTCTTTAGAGCTGTTTCAGATAGTTTTTATTTTATTTTACCTGACTAAATATTGTTGCTGACATTCTTCTTTTAATTTTTTTAGAATCTGGCCAAAACGAATGCAGGGAATATATTACTATCGCCGATATCCATAAAATTAGCATTAGTCCTTCTTTATGAAGGCGCTCAAGATCAAACCGCACGTGAACTTGCAGAAGTCATGCAACTTCCGCTTAGTGTGCTGGCCACTCGAGAGAAGTTTAACAATATTTTAAAATCTCTGCAAGTAATTAATTTATAAACATATCAAAATATTTTCATATGTTTTTCGAAAGACTTTATGTATACATATATACAATTACGTGCCATTTTTATTGACAGGCTCCATCCTCTGCGTATACTTTGAATATTGGATCGCGTATTTACATCGATAATAATGTGTTGACTAGGCAACGTTACGCAGCGACAGTAAAAACCTTTTACAATACTGATGTGATCAATGCCAATTTGTCTGACACGCATACAATCGCGACTAAAGTTAATTCTTGGATCAGTAATGTTACGAATGGACACATTGAAAAAATGATAGATAATGGTAGGTTTGAAGCCATCTTGATTTAGTTAACAATAAATAGTTTTACGTAATCAAGCTTGATGATATAATCTATGAAATGTAATAAAAATGCTTTGTATTTTTCAATTAAAGAAAAAAAATTTCAATTATTGAGATTTACAAAAAGAGAGAGAGAGCTATCGATAAAATATTAATTTTATATTAATTTTATATTATATTAATTTTATAATATTATTAATTTTCAATAATATTAATTTTATATTTCAGAAGAAACCTTGGAAAACTCGGTAATGCTGATCGCGAATGGACTATTCTTCAAAGGTGCTTGGCGCCGCAAGTACTTTGCGCCCGAGAACACTCGCGTTTCTAAATTTTACATCAACGCCAATGAAAGCGTAGATGTACAATATATGCATACCATAAGCCGATTTTATTATGCTGAATCATCAAGACTCGGCGCAAAGATTCTGCGGATTCCGTACGATGTACGTAATAATCTATTTAATGCTTTACGAATAAATAATCGTAGACGCATAACGAAGATACAATTTTTCAGGGTTCTAAATTTGCCATATATATTATACTGCCGCATATGTCGACTGTGGATCATGTTATCAAACAAATTAATCCATTCGTACTGTCGAGCGATCTATGGGCCATGCAGGAATTGCCTCTCAATGTTTGGATTCCAAAATTCAAATTCGAATTCACAAGCCACTTGGAAAATACTTTGCGCGAGGTAATTTACTCATGATTCTATATAAAAAGAATATTACATTCAATAAGTTTGCAACAAAAATAGATTAACAATTAAAATAGATTTAACAATTACAACTTCGGCTACGTACAAAATGTTTTGCATAATTTTATATTCTATTCTATTTTATATTAAATTTATTTTATATATCTTATTCTATTTTATTCTATTTTATATTCTATTCTATTTCTATCTAAAAATCGAGTAAAGATCGCAATGATAAACATTTATTTATTATTAACAGTTATTTTGATTATTTGATTATTGGTTACGAACGATTAACAATTATTTATTATTCCACAACCGCAATGATTATTTTACATGTTTTTTTCTTTTCTAACAGCTTGGTATTCGTGATATTTTCGATAATACTGCACTGTTGACTGGAATAGCAAAGACAAAACGGGCTTCAAAACATTTACAGGTGTCTGATGTGATGCATAAAACTGGAATAGAAGTAAATGAAAACGGGACAATTGCTTATGCTGCTACAGGTATATATGTTCTATGTATAATGAATTTTGAGAAATACGAAATAAAGTAAATAAAAAATAAATATGTACTTTTTTTGCTCATATAATAGTTTTGTAATATTGTAAATTTTATCCAATTGTATTACTAGATTTTATATTTATAACATTTATATTTAATACTTATGTCATCTTATATTTTTATATTTTATATTATTTTATATTTTTATATTTTATAAAATCAGATATTTATTATAATATAATCAAATTTATAGAAGGATATAAAGATATATTCATTCATATTTATTTCATTTATATTTATATCATTTATATTATATTTATTTTATTTGAATATCTTAATAATAATTTTTTTTATTCGATTTTTATATTTGATTTATAATCATATCCCAAACAGAAAATGTGTTATTAAAAAATTACACATTATTAACTGTATTTAACAAGTTTTTTTTCTGTGTTTTATTATTCTTATGTTTATTATTCTTATATTTTTTTCTTTAATACAGAAATACAAATTGGAAATAAGATAGAAGAAGGCACATTCTATGCCAATCAGCCATTTGTATTTTACATTGAGGATGAAACAACTGGCACCATTCTGTACGTAGGTCTAGTACGGAATCCCCTGAATGAAACCGGAACTACAGGGAAAATACAGCAAGAACTTCCATCACGATTTAATCTGAATGCAACGACAGTAACACCCAGTCCTGGTAAACTATCATAAAGTTATCTATAATAATCGGAGATGTGTCGGAAAAGGTGATGGTGTCTTGTATTGCAGTAATGACTACAATGTAATAATAATGTAGTTTTACCCTGATATAGAAATTTCTCTTTAAACTCTCTGATTGATCTTTTAGTTGCATTAAGTAAAAAAGTTGTATAAGTACTATTAATATTTAAGTTTTTCTCTTTATTAACAGCGGTTTGGTATTGAATTGTGCAGGATGTTTAGCCTCAAATTCTAATCATTTTAAAAAACAAAAACAGAGAAAGATTTAATATAAAAAATTATTAAAAGATTTAATACAAAAATTATTTTTTATATTTAATCTTTTTTTTAAAAATCTTTTATCCAAAAAAATGATACTAGAATGATATTCGTTTATCTTTTATTTTATAATATTGTTTCTTTGCCCTTTCAAAGATAAAACTGAGGACAAAATTTGAGGTAAAATGCCCTGTATAAATAAAAAAGGTCTACTTTAGAAAAAGGAATTAGATAAAATAATTAACACTACTATTAACATAGTGCATGTATTATTTCTACATATTGTATTGTAATATATAATTATATTTTGATAAATGTGATTAAGAGTCAGATCAAATTTAAGTTCTGATTTGTTTAAATCTAGTTGTTAAATATAAAAATAACTATCTTTATTTCTTGCCTAATATAACAAAAGTTGTTCTGTATGTTTTTCTCTTTGGTAATATAGTAAGATATTTTCGATACAGTTTTAAATTGTAGTATTATTAAATATTCTGCAAAGATTGTGTATATGTGACATACATTCTAATCGTATATTTTACTATATCGCGAATAAAATTTACTCTCTCTTTCTCTTTATATACATATATATTCTCAGTGTAATATTTTTAGTTTTGAAGTTATATAAATTTCACAAATCTATTTTCTATTTTGATGTTCCTTTACTCGAAGTATCGAAGATATAATTCATCGAATGCCAAAGATATAATTTATAACAAGTAAATTTTTATAATAGATTTTATGTAACAAACACCTAGCATGCATATTTTAAGAAGTCAAGATTACTTAGACAATTTTATAAATTTTCTAATATATAAGTATCACGTTCGCAAAAAATGTAGTTTCTTCACTCATTTATATGTTTTGTTAACAAATAAAATACATTACTCTTGACAACAATCATATGTACTATTTTAAGAATATCGTAAGCATGGAATATGGTAAGCATGAAATTAAATTTTCTTAATCTAACAAATTCAAATTTAATCTAATTATTAATTAAACTAATTATTATAATAAACTATTTTTTTGAGAACTAATAATACTTTTCTTCTTCGTAAGCTTTTCCTGTTTTATTAGTAACATAGAAATAACATAAGTATCATACATGATTATATGGGTTGTACGTTAGAATTATCAATTATCGATACTATAGCTATTGCTCTACATTCTTATCTTTATCGTTGACTATTATGGTTCTACAAATTGTTTTATCGTTGACTATTGCGGTTCTGTGAATTGTTTACATTCATTTTGATATTTATATCGTTATTTCGATGTCATTGCAATAAATTGTCACTGTCATAAATGAGTAGGACGTTCCGAGATGACGTTTCATAATGGGCGGAAATTCCAAAAGAACAAATTCCAAGATAAATCTTTATTTACAAACTCTTATATTTCTTAGTTATATCTCTCAATGCGCGAAATCTTTTGCTGCAATTTTTTTCTTAATATGTTAGTGTTTTTACGAAAAATAGCGCAATGCATTTTAGTTACTTAATTTTTCAAGTACATCGCGTTTCAAGATAAGAATCATAACATAAGTAGCAATAAAATTCATGATTTTATATTTTACATTTTTGCCTAAAATGACGTATTCCCTTTGTTTAAATTGAAACATTTTATATTACGTCCAATTATATAATTTTGTAATATTCAATTTTTAATTTCTCTCAACAAAACTATTATATCTTATAAAAATTCTTATTATCTTAAATCTCTTATTTGACAATAATTGCATCAGTGCCTAAATAAGATGTTCAATCACAAGAAGCAGAATATTTTGCCTTCTTTTTTTTCATCATTCTTCAAACATTACGATTACGTCATCCTCGCGCACCATGTGCAACTTTTTCTCATATATAAGCGACGACGGCATTTAAGCATGATAGTGTTTATATCGCAACGAAGGTAATAAAACAGGATTCATCGTCCGTAAAGTGGGGATGACTTTTAGCCGGAAGTTTAACTATTAGTATCAGCGAACACCCGTGTTTCCGTTATTCGTGTGTGTCGAGAGCTAATACGCGAAACATACAATATTCGCGTGTGTTCAGCTGCGTTGAGTTTCAAATTATGAGAATGTCACTGCCCCTGTGGATCCTCTGCTGTGGCCTCGCAGGTATCTTTTATGAATAATGTATACATCTAAAAGAGACACGATGTTCTTTCAAGGAGGATGTTTGTTAAAATTTAGAAATATCTTCGGAAATATCTCTTAGAGTTTCTTTAAGTGCCTGTATTACGTTTGGATTTTTATGATCACATATTGATTATTCATCATCAATCATCGAAAGATTTATCATATTGGAATTTTTCATCTTCGAGTCTTTACGTAATTTTCTCGTTTACTATAATTACTTTTAGAATAATTATTGAATTTTTCTACACTTTGTATTTGACGGTATTCTATACGTGAATAAAGGAGAGAATAACAGATCGATATTTAACGTCACTTATCTGCTTCATCGTAAATCAAAATTGTTAATGGGCAGCATTTTTTACGATTACGTAATCACTCGCATAGTAAAACGACGCTCGTTAAAGTCACTCGGCCTCACGATTAGTTTCCTATCATTATCCTTCTTTATCTTGGTGGGTTTATTCGTTCAAGGAGATAGGAACAGGTACTTAAACTTTTAGTAGACGAGAGGAAAATCCTTTTCGGTATGCGAAGTCACATGATAATCGTGTTAGTCACTCCAGGCCTGTAATTTTAATGAGCAATGGAAATATTAGAGCCTGTAATTTTAATGAGCAATGGAAATATTAGATTCATGATTTTATAGCTAATCGATGAAATACGCGTAACTGTTCATGAACTTTGTTTGCAATATTACTTGATTATGCTTTCATTGTTAATTGAACGAATTATTAAAATTTAAATGTGCTATTTTATTCAATGATGCAATGATTGAAAACGTCAATTATGTATAAATATATTATACCCAAATTATTTGTTATTAATGTAAAATTTTCTGCAATTGTTCCAGCTGCAACCGGTATTGAAGATCGATATGGCTTTTTCAATATCGATCTCCTGCAGGTGAGCAACATTTTAGAAAGACATAACTGATGGAAAATAATATAACATAATATTTCACATGAATTTAAAAAAAAAATAAATTATGAATATATAAAATTATTAATTTTTGCTAATTTATGAGAGAACCAGTTAACTTAAATTCTTTTATATTAATTCAACATTTTTATTTCTTCATATATTTATGCTTCTATTTATACGTTATGGAATAAAAAATAATTATTAATAAAAAAAGTTCGTAAAATACGTAAAAGTAATTTTTAAAATTTTATGTAAGAGAGAATACATATATTGTTTATACTTATAAAAATTATTTTGTAGAGAGTGAACGAGGACAACGAGGGTAATCTAATACTGTCTCCTGCCAGCGCAAAAGTTGCCCTCACGAGTCTGGTGGAAGGCACGGGTGGTCAAACACGACAAGAATTGCTTGCGGCTTTGAGATTACCACCGGATGAATTTACTATCAGAAGGATAACAAGACGCACTCTCATGTCTCTAAAAGTATTATAGTCCTAAAGTTATTGATTTAAATTCGTTGAGAAATCGGTACGGATTTCGATTAATATATGAAAGTAATCTTTGTTGGCGATAGAATAAAATTTACAGAGAATTTATATTTTTTTCGTGTTTATAGAATATTTATGTTTGAAATTATAACTTCAATCTCTCTCTGATCGTTTTCTTCCATCGAAAATTCGTCTCACTTTTCTCTTCAAGCATTTCACATTTATTTCAGAGTTATCAAAATGGTACGGAAATCGACGTAGCGACTCGGCTATGGATTAATCCAATGATTAGGACATCTCCTGGTTATACGAGTGCTTTGTATAATAATTATGGAACCGATATCCAGCAGCTGAATTTTGGAGACGCAAATGTTGCGGCGAACAGGATCAACGCTTGGGTTCGTGAAAATACAAAGAATAACATCAAGTCGATCATTCAACCTGGTATTTAAATCCTATTAAGTTAATATTAGATAACAATAGATGAATCAAAGAATTTTAAGTTTTCGAATTTTACTTAATCAGAACAAGATATATGTGTATCAACTCTCTTTTGAATTAAACTGATTAAAGATATTTACCGAAATTTTACATTGTTTCAGGTACTGTTTCCGCCGACACTCAGATACTGTTAACTTCGGTGTTATATTTTAAAGGACAATGGATGAAATCCTTCGATAAGGATGCTACGCGTACGCGATGTTTCCGTGTTCCCGTACTTGGTTGCAAAGACGTTCCTATGATGGAGAGCACTTCTCAGTATCGATACGCTTATGTAGCTTCCCTCGATGCTGACGTTGTGGAAATCCCATACTCAGTAAGATGTGATCCTTATATCACCGATAAAAAAAGCTTTGATGCTTTTACATGAAAGAAAATTCATACAAGATAATTATTCAATATATACTTATAGATTCAAAATGCTTCGGGTTTCTAAAATTGCATCTATATTTCTATAAAAATTTATTATTAAATATATTGTTAAACGGAAATTTTTTAGTTTATTCGAAAATATAATTGATATTCTTGCATAAACATATTCTATATGAAAGTCGTTGTAAATAAATCATATATCGTTAGAGAAACATAATTATTTTTGTCTAAAGAAGATAAAATTTATTAAATGAGATAAAAAAAAACTAGTTCTTTAATATTATGTGCCCTATATTGTATAATGCACATGTATTGTACGATATTTTTTTCTTTTTTGAGATTTCTCTTTAAAGGAACATATATTAATAAAAATAACAAAGTCTAAATATAGCGGAAAGAATATATTTTTAAAAACGGAAAAATTAATTGATAAAATTGATATTTTAGAATGGCAGGACATCTATGCTGATATTCCTTCCATTTCATGAGGAAAGTGATCCATATCTTCAAATCTTATCCAAAGATCTCTCATATGTGACAATGAGAACTTTGTTAAGCAGTCTCAACGAAACCGAATTAGTGCTTTCTATTCCACGGTTCAATATCGAAAGTAAATTGAATTTAGCTTCCCCTTTAATGCGCGTAAGTATGAAAATATTAATTAAACAAATATTTAATTATCATTGTTATAATTGTAATACTTAATTATCATTGCTACACTATTATTATCAATTTCAGTTATCAAACTTTTTATTATATATATATATATATATATAAAAATATATAATTATTATTAAATATTATATTCACAATACATTGAAAAATATTAACAAAAAATAGTTGAGAATATACAAATATATTATTTTGATTTAGATGGGCGTATTGGACATTTTCGGTACGAGAGCGAATTTTACAGGATTCATACATAATGATTATTTGCGAATAGGAAATATAATTCAAAATGCTAAGATAGAAGTCAACGAAGAGGGAACTATCGCTGTTGCTGCAACAGGCAATTATCGACATAATTTTTTTTTCTTTAAATATATTGATGCCTGTGGATTATCATTAATGTTTGTTCAATTGCAGAACTCACGATTGTACCACTCATGGGTAACACAGCAATTTTCATAGCAAACAGACCATTTATCTTTGCTATAGTTGATCTGAATACAACTGAGACTCTTTTTGCTGGTCGTGTCATGGATCCTTCCATGAGCAACTCAGGAAATTTTTAGAGAAGCTCAATATTCAGCTATAGCTGTTTTTTTTTTATTTAAAAGTGCTTCGAAAGTATAAAAAAATGATCATTTATGTATATAATATTACTTTTTATACTGTACCTATGTTTATCATTACAAAGTAAATGATTGTTCATTCTTTTATACTCAAATAAACAACAAATTAAAATAAAATAAATAAAAATATATTTTATATTAGTCTAACAAAACGTTGTAATAGTACATAAAATAAAAACATTGTGGAGACTGCTAAATAACTCACCATCATACGTATATAAATCATCTAAATTGTTATTTATTTATACATATTTGAAGGTAGAGCACATCTGTTAAATACAAAGCTAACATATTGTCTCTAAAATATCTCATTCATGCTCATATTTGTCCTTTATGTCTTTCCATAGTTTCTGGAAGAAGAAACAGTATCTATTATGCAACCAGTGTGTTATTTCATATATACATCAAAACGTGAATTAGGTTTTACTTTTGATATTAATAAATTATTCATAAATTAAAACAAACAAAAAATCCGATACAAATTATTTATGAGCATTATTCAATATTATTTGCCATAATTAGCAAGAAATATTATATTATTATATCAAATATTTTGCAACAATTAACCTCACTTTTTAACCTCATAAATATAAAATTCAGAATACGTTTAATGTTCGAGTGTCAAACGTAATTTCAAGTAAAATGCAAAACAGATATAAAATACAGAAAAACGTGTAATTACCCCTTTGTTAACAGAATCGAAAATCTTGTCGGCTGCCAAATCAAATGACCTTTCGAAAAAGAAGCTCGAAGCTACAACGACGACCACAAACGTCGATGTGCGTCTAAGAAAGACATTGTACAACGTGCTACCGATACTCATTTCTGATTTTAGTTTTTACGATATTTTCGCCTGAAAGATCCGAAAAAAATCGAACTGACGAGACGACGAAATCCGAAAAGACCTGATCGATCTGGCTGATTTTTGTCGGACGGGTTCTTGAGAATATCTTCTCTGCGCATGCGCAGCGCAGAGAAATTCAATGACGTATGTAGTACACATGAAAAATGGGCGCGAAAAATTCCTTGACGAATTCCAAAGTAGATAAGTATAATTTATGTTGTGTCTTTTATTAATCTTTTAATTATTTATTTGTAATTCATTAATTTGTAAAATATTTTAGATTATTATTTTTAACATTGTCTGAGCAGAGGGCTTAACAATACTCTTTTTCTTATAAATTTAATATGTATGTACCTTAAGGTCACGTTTAACGCACATGCACGAGAAAGCGTCCCCGAAAACAAAAACACTGTACGATTAACATTAAAAAATTTTTATTTTTAGATCCCAAAATATTAAAATCATTAGAAAATAAGCTCTTCTATTAAATATCGAATTAAATATTTTTTAAATATCTATTAAATATTAAATTGGATGCAGTGTAAATTTTACTAAAGATGCTTCTTTCTGAAATTATCGTTTAAAGTCACTAGATTAACAAAGTACCGCAATTTTGATCTCAATAAGATAAGCTGGAGCAAAAATGGCGCGTGACGCGCGTAAACATAATACACGCATGTATGTGCGCCAACAGCTCTTTTAAGAAAATACTCAGGACTGAAACAGTTTCACCAACTGGTCAATTGACGAGTTTTTTGTATCAGTGATTGGTAGAACTGTCTCATATATGAAATAGTTGAAAAGTTTATTCGTCGTTATCGCGATATTAACATCCGGAATAAGTGGAATATATTCGTAAGTTATATACAATTTTATTATTAATAAATAGTTGATTGCTCTCGAAATACGATACTCGATTATACGATAGGAATCAAAATTATAAATTATTATTTTGTTGCAATCTTTACGAGCAATGATTATTCTTCTATTTCTATTTCGTTTCTATCCTAATATATATGTGTACACACACACGCACACATTTAGAATTCTAATATAATAAATAAATATTCTCTCTGATATCATTTGATCTAAATATAATTTGATTCAGAACGCGCAATAAAACGATCGAATAATTAACATAACGGAAATATATATTTTTAAAGTTATACAAGTGTATTTATATATATACAAGTATATCTTTAAAATCACACACACATACACACACACACACACACACACACACACGTACACACGGATTAATAATTTATTAAACACACATCTTTAAAGTCACACACACACTCACACACACACGTACACGTACACACGGATTAATTATTTATTAAACGATTAATATACTTCGTGAAGTTATTTCCATTTTTATTGCAATTATGATCTTTAATAAAGATTTCTCATCATAATAAAAAAATTTTATATCGTTTAACAAAAGTTTAAATTAGATTTAAAAGTATATTATTGCCTCTTTTCAGCGATAATAATTGATTATTTCACTACGTAATTCCTGAATAGCTATCATTACAGAGATCGCGTAGAGTTTGACAATGCAATAAAATTAATAATAAAATTCCAATAAAATTAAATACAAATTAATTATAATAATTAAATATAAATTTGTTTATAATTAACTTTTTCTACGTTGAGAAAAGTTCTTCGTTTCTTTTGGAATATCTTAAAGATTCTTTTATAATTAAATTTTACAAAATATATAACTATTAAATTTATAGTATTTAATATTTAGAAATAAATAGATAATCCATTTTTATATAGATTAAGTATACGATATTATTTATTAAAAGCACTAATACATCTTTTATGGATCTTTTTGTTAAGTTAATTATTTAGATCTACAATTGTTTTACTGCATTTCAATCCGAATTATATATTTAAATGATCGAAAAATAAAACGATAATAAAATAATAAGCAATATATCTATTTTAAAAATAGTATATATAAATAATAAATAATAAATAATTTTTATAAATTACTTACCGAATGTCTCTGGCTGCTTCAGGCTCTCTCCCTGCTTTCTGATTGTCCGATACTTTTCCAGATGTCCTTCTCTTTTGTTGTTTCATCCTTTGTTGTTTCCTCGTAGCACTCACGTATTCACTCGCGAACAAACAATTATATTTCAGTTAATTATATTTCAGTCATATACAGAAACGATCGCGAGACACTTTGCACGGCACTCCCGATCGCAAAATAATCATACGAGATACGTATTTTTATTATATTATTATTATTTTATTGCAAGAGAGGAACACAAAAATTACAATAATTCGCTCGATTTTTAAACGAAGCCAAAATCATGCACCACTCGATTCTTACACTAATTAACTATTTCTATTTGTTGATGTATAATATATGCATAATAACGCGAATCATAAGATTAAAATATTAAAGTAACGTAAATTGATGATACAGCAATCGTTTAATTAATATGATATATATGCATGCAGTTTAGGAAAGTTTAAAACATCGGGCGAAATCGAATTTCATTCTATGCAATGTTAAAGAAATAATTATTATTCGTAAAGTTCGATAATCGGAGAATATTGTGAGAAAATTTGTAATTTTTGCCCCTTTCGCTTCAATTTTTATTTGCAATAATGAAAGATCGCGTTTCGATGAATTTATCGTCGCCACAATTGCATTTATTATAAGAGTTAATTATTTGTCATTTGTAATAGTCGAATTATTATATTTCGATCTAATCGCGATCGTACCTTTAGGACAAGAATTCGATAATACGGAGCGGTCCGTATCGCTACTTTCTCCGTTGGAATGTCGCCGTGCGAATGAGGGGAGGTCGTCGCGTATATAAACAATAGCGCGCTACGTCACAAGGCCAAATGACGTCACAAGGTCGAATGACGTGTTAGCTCGCTGCCGAAATATTTAACGCGTACTGTGACGTATGTGAGAATTGTATTTATATACAAGTATATTTTTAAAGTCACACACACACACACACACACACACACACACACACACACACACACACACACACACACACACGTACACTGAGAAAAAAGTTGTTAACTCGACTAAACCGTTTAACTAAATTATTATTTTTTTAATTGAAATATTGAAATATTTAAGTTAAATAAATGTCATGTTAGATTTATAATAGTTAAATATTCCAATTAAAAAGACAATAATTTAGTTAAATGCTTTAGTTAAGTTAACAACTTTTTTTCTCAGTGTACACAGATTAATTATTTATTAAACCTCACGAGATGTATTAATCGTTTAATAATATAAATGTATTTATATCCAAGTATATTTTTAAAGTCTCACACACACACGTACATTGAGAAAAAAAAGTTTTTGTTAACTCAACTAAACCGTTTAACTAAATTATTATTTTTTAAATTAAAATATTGAAATATTTAAGTTAAATAAATGTCATGTTAGATTTATAATAGTTAAATATTCCAGTTAAAAAGGTAATAATTTAGTTAAATGGTTTAGTTAAGTTAACAACTTTTTTTCTTTTACAATTAGTCTTTTCTCTGTCTACTATTTGATTGTTTTATTACACTTTTAGAAAGTCAAGTTCTATAATGTAACTTTTAATGTTGTATTTCATATGAAATTATTATTTTAAACATAATAATTTTCTTTCTTTGCATTTCTATCATGAAAAAACATTTCCAACCTTTATTAAAAAAACTAAAAATATCTTTCAATTTTTTCTCTCTTTGGACAATTTATTTACATTTATATATAATTCTCTTTATTCCTTTAAAAGTGAACATCGAGAACAAGGCACACGAGTATTGTAAATGTCAAAAATGATCGCGCGAATATTATAGTTGTGAATATATAAAAATAAATGCAATATACTATGAATTTTCTACGTTATATATTGAATCGAAATTGCACAAAAGAGAAAAAGAAGAACAAGCCTATGAATAGACATTTCCATTTTTTATTAAAAAATTAAAAATATCTCTCAATTTTTTCTCTCTTCGGATAATTTATTTACATTTATATATAATTCTCTTTATTCCTTTAAAAGTGAACATCGAGAACCACTCTCTTTCTTCAGGCAAGTCTACATATATGACCAATATGATTAATTGATTCCATCTTTATATATTTATCATTATGTGCTATTAATTAAAGCCGTAGACAATACTTCAGAAATCAAAGTTGTGCGAACGTTGCGCGCAGAAACGAATGCGCAGTGGTTCGGCCGCCATGTTGGCGCGTGACTGCTACGTCATACGCGTCATAGCTACGTCATACGCGGCATACGTGACTCGGAGTCATACGCAGTAACACGGATCGTCGAACGTCCGCATTTTTCGCGTCTTTTAACCGTTTTTAAACGAATATCGCGACTGAAAGAGCGTCGAGAGTGTCCAAGGATGATCGCGCGACTTTCATAGTGTGTCGATGGAAACGCGACAGCGATTTTTGACGATTTCAGTGATGGCGTCATCGCGAAGATGGAGCGAAGTCGCGTCGCGTTATTTGCGCCCTTGATGATGATTATCGGATGCGAGCGAATATCGAGAGTGCCGAATAAAGTGTCGCGCGTTCGCGTTGATGATATCGTGTGCATCAGGATCGGAATGGGACGTCCCGAGGCGAGCGAACTGTCCCGAGGAGGAGCGGCCTGAGGAACAGCCGGTGAACGGTGAGTAGATGTGATTTATTATCATATTTGCGTGACAATTCATGCTCATTCAACGCTTATACAGCATCGCGATGTCCCGAATTACGTTCAAACAAATCGGCGCCGCATCATAATTCGATGCGATGCCGTGCAATTCAAATAAAGTCGATCGCGTGAAGATGGTTATGCTAGAAGCGATTTCAAATTTATTTTATATACGCGCAGTGCTGCACAGCCTATCTTGTAGGGCTGCCAACTGTTAAGCGATAAATTTGTTTGATCTAACCTAACCTAACCTAACCACTGTCTTTGGATGTCGAATGTAAACACAAGCGTATGCTGCCTGGATTGTATCATGCTTTTAAAAATAATATTTAATTATTTCATTAGTGTATTACAT